GTTTATTCCATAATCCTGATCCAATATCTTTAGGATGAAAAGCTCAGAAAGATGGTGCATTTCAGATGAACCTACTGAGTATTATATGACCTGGCATCCTATTAGAAATACATCTTTCCACTTAGCTGCTTTAATGGCACATAAAAGGAAGCAAACAACATTCAAAGAGAGTTAAACTCAGCAATATGTCTGAAAAGTTATAACTGTCAGTTCAATAATTTGTGACATATAGGGTCTCACAATGCCTTGGCTTGATTGACTAGGATAGTTATCAGTGTACCTTTCCTTGTAAACGTACATCTTGTTCCCTTGGGCATTTTACACAACCAAAGCTGCTAAGGACTGCACTGACAAAAGCCACTAAGCAGTATAATAATAAAAATAATCTGCTAACAAGTACACTCCAACAACATCAGTAATCCAGGGTGTCAGGCTCGTTCTACAGTGTGATCATCCAGATATTGTTAAACTGAAACGTCCAATACTATAGGCCACTACTCATTTTTAGGTGGCCACACTTTTCCCAACCTGGCCCACAGTAAATCGATTTTCATACTAGCTAACAGTATCTTCTTCATGGATTCTTGTGAACAAATGATAAAATAACTTCAAAGAGAGGTTTGAGATCTTTAGGGCACAATATGCTAGAGTTCAACAGCATCAAGAGTAACTTTTAAAACAACAACAACCAGGCCAAGCAAATGATTTCTGCATTCAATTTCTGCACTGATGCTTTGATGAGCCAAGGGCTTTGTTGAAAGTCAATTTCTTCATCTTACTATAAAGGGGAGGATCCTTAGTCCCATTAAGAGATCTACATTTTATGGTGAACAAAACCTTCAATGAGACTGCAGGACAACCAGACATCCTTCAAGTTATTTTTAGTTTAAGTGACCAATTTGTGGTAAAATATTACCCTAATTGCCATACAAATGTGGAGGTTTGCATCCCCTTGTTCCGCAGTACGACTTGATACCTATAAAATGATAAAAAGTGGCTTTTTCCAGTGGAGTTTTCAAACCATAATTGATGTTACTTCTACTCGCACTGGGAACACCAGTGCAATCCCATACTGTCTCAGTTGTCTACCTTCTGCTCTTTACATTCCACCGAAACTGCCATTGTTGAAATCCTAAATATTTCTGCAACCATCTGCTTTGTCTTTGTCCTTTTTATTATTTTGGATACAGTTTAAAACAATAATTTTACCACCCTCTCCTGTTTAACTCCCTGAGTTTCAGTGACTGCTCTCAGCTATTTATCTTCAGATCTGCTAAGTTGCTTTCCCAGAGAGAATTCTGAACAGCCACCCTAAACCTTCTCTTTCCATGTTAAGATTTGTCAGCTATCACCATTTGCTTTCCCCACTTATTCGCTCCCCCTCTGTTTTGGAATGATCTAAATACACTTCACACTTCACTGCTTCCACTTAGAATCTGAGATATGGTTTTTTAAAAGTATCGTGTTGAATGTTATTTGTTGCTATTTTGAATCATCATGTTAATAATTCATCACCTTTAAAAAACACATTCCTTGTCTATCACTTTTAAAAACCAAAATTAATTTTAAAACCATAAGTCCTCTGAAGAAACCACATTAGGGTTAAATAGCACACATTAGTAGTTACATTTTAATATACTAACATTATTATTATATGACAGCTTCTGGCAACTCAATGAACATGAGACCTCCAAAACCCTATGATTAGCAAACTTGCTCATGTTTTGTAAACTCAGGTGTGGTAACTTACTTGATTGAGTCTAATCATCTGTAATGTTCTGTGGTTGTGGAGCAGAACAATCAACTTAGTATCGGTATGCTTGTCCACAATGCCCTGCATCATGTGCAGAGGAAGAACTGTTTAAAGCTAAAAACAACGTAGTCGCTGTTGCCCATTTTTGATCTAAAACTATTTAGTTGCTTGTGCTCCCTTTATTTTATCAGTTTTATACTTATTTATTTATTTAATGCTTTTGACACTAAATCTATATAAATAAAAATGTAATGTTCGTTTGTGGGATTAACAGAACTCAAAAACCACTGGACAAATTGACACCAAATTTGGACACAAGACACTTAATAACCCAATGTATGTCCTTCACTCAAAAAATTGATTTTTGTCATTTGGGAGTTGTAGTTGATAGGATTTATAGTTCACCTACAATCAAAGAGCATTCTGAACCCCACCGACAATAGAATTGAACCAAACTTGGCACAGAGTTCTCCAATGACCAACAGAAAATACTGGAAGGGTTTGGTGGGCAGTGTCCTTTGGTTTTGGAGTTGTAGTTCACCTACATCCAGAGATCACTGTGGACTGAAACAATGATGGAGCTGGACCAAACTCTACACGAATACTCAATCTGCCCAAATGTGAACACTGGTGGAGTTTGGGGGAAAATAGAGTCTTAACATTTGGGAGATGTAGTTGCTGGGATTTATAGTTCTCCTACAATCACAGAGCATTCCGAACCCCACCAACGATAGAATTGGGCCAAACCTCCCACACAGAACCCCCATGTGGGCCACAGCAACGCGTGGCTGGGGACGGCTAGTAAATAAATAAAATCTGTAATGTGATCTCCCCCTCTTCCTATTGCCTTCATCTTTGCTGAGTACTGTCATTTTTTCCAACAAATCAAATAAATGCTATTTTGACAAAGGAGCATGTGCTATTTTTGTTATTCTTGAAAGTAATGTGCTATGGTTATATCATTACTTTTAACACACTGCTAATTTACAATGTCAAACAGAACTTGCCATAAACTCAGATGTCACCTCTGCCCACTCACTTGGAATTTGTCATCACAGGACCTAATCACATCACCCACAATATTGGAGCTACTTTTACTTGCTCATCTTCTAGCATGATACATGCATACTCTTTCAAAAATAGCCTTCATCACTCTACATTGAGGAAATGGGCCAGTCTTCACTCCAGTTGATAAACAGACATAAAACAGATAACAGGAATACACAAAAACTAGTGGCAGCATATCTCAATATTTTAAAATATTTTTTTAATTCCAAAAATCAAACCTTAATTTTGCCATTTTATATAAGGGACATCATTTTACTATGTCATTGTATATAACGGAACTTGAGCATCTATGGATTTCAGTATCCATGGGGATAAGGGGACGGGAGTCCTGGAAGCAAATTATGTATTTTCAAACTCAATGTATCAATGGGGGAGAGGCTAGTGTGACAGCTTCTTATGATGCAATTCATCTCTGTTGCACATTACAACTTTTCAATGTATTCATATTGATTGTAGTTGTTCCTTGTTAGTCACTTTCAATTTACTCATATAGTGCGTGGTTTTAATTTTTTCAAATACATTTCTAATCTCAGATAGCTTATCGTTCCATCTCTTCCTCCCTTTAATCTTTCAATCTGTTTACAACAAATTGACCCTTTGTTTTATTTGGATACTTCCCTTTCCTTGGCTCCTCTCAATGTTCCAAATCCTGACACTTATTTATGGAACACACTGCAAAGGTTCACCCAGATACATGTCACTGTAAAGATTTTTATAATCTCCTTCCTTGATTTCTGCCAGATTCTTCTCTTTGGTCTTCCAAAATATAATCTCAGTTCTGAAAATTGATTTATAATTCCCACTGCTGAAGCATCATCCTAAATGTATCCATGGTCTTTGACTATTGTTTCTTTCTGCCCTGGTTTTTCTATTTTGTCCCTCCATGTTGTCTGTACTTCCCTGATTCTTCCCACCAAACTCTCTTGATCAATGTCAGAGATACATTATTAGTTTCTGTCTTTTATGTGGGAAAGCTCCACAACTTAGTTCAAGCTTTGTGTGGAAAAAGTCTCAGGTTTGGAGTACCACCAATTAAAGAGAATTCCAAGTAGCTGGCTTCAAGTCCCACTGATCTCACCCCTTTTTTCCAGCAGTAAAATCATAGGAAAGTTATTTTATTACTGAATAGATATATGCTGAAAATTATGAAGCATTTTTCAAAGGATATAACTCATTAAAGTCAACCTGTTGGTGTACAGTAAGAGTTCTTAATAATTTTTTGATCCATGGATCCCTTTATGACACTCAGCATTGCCATGTCTTTAAATTAAATTTTTGGATTTTTCATAATTACATTTTATAACTTTCCCACATTTTCAGTAATTGATCATCTGTACAACACCTGTTCAAATGGTCGTTTTTGGCAAACACAAAGATAATAAGTTGATTTTTTAAATTCAAGCTTATGGACCCCCCTGAAATCTTTCCACAGACCCCTGGTTAAGAACCTCTGATGTACAAGCACTTAAAAGAGGAAACCAGAAACAAACAAACAAAAATGAGGTCCTCGGGTTTTGATTGCCTTACTGGTGGAATACTGTAATACATTGATACCTAAAAAGAAACATACAAATTTAAATAATCCCAACATACATCACTGGAGCCCAATGAATGTGCGGCTTAATTTTTTTAAGCAGCCAACGACAGACATAGGCAAACAGAAATTCCATGCAGTAAATGTGCTTGCAGACATCTGGGTAGACTATAGAAGAAATGACAAATGACTTCCTCCCTCTTCCACAAGTCTACCTTTAGAGTGTATTTTATTTACTCCCCACCTAATAGGCTTGTTGATTACATCCCTATGTTGACTGAAGCTGAGGAGACTTCCCTTCCACTGCACCCAGAATGGAAATGCAGAGCTGATAACCTTGTAGCTGGTTCTTTAACATTGTTGTAGGCTTTAATCTGCAATCTTATTCATTCATATGCCCGCAAACATATATACACTTGATTCCAAATAATATAAAATAAAGCCATTCGTACAACAGACACAATGACCTTGAAATACAAAGATTCCTACCAAACAACACACTAAAAATATTCTACTTCTTATATAATTAAGGCAGTAATCATGTGCATATCTGCCTGGTTACAGGTCCAACTAAGCATGGGGACTTTCTTTTGATTAAATATGTATAGGGCATAGCTGCTTGTGATATGTGAGTACATAGTTTACCTGATCTAGGAAATGTCTCTGTTTAAAAACTTCCCAGTCTTCCTTCAGAAAGCGCTGCTTTGTTCTCATTGCCACCTGGAATAAAATTAAGCCAAGTTCACTTATTAAATGCTCTCTAATATGTATCCCACCATTTTCAGAATAAATTTACAGTATGGTTACAGCATTTGAAAGGATGGACAATTTATTGGATTGCATGCAGTTAAACTGATTTCTCCCTTTTTCTGATGCAGAAGACTATCCATACCATACTAAAACTCTGAAAAGTTAGTTATGTATATTTTAAGCAAAAGAAATAGAAATACACAGTTACTATAGATAAAACTGACAGCAATTCCAATAAATAGAAGTATCTGTATGAATACCCAATAAATGAATATTAGTTTTGTACTGAAATGTACAAATTGAGCCCAAAAGCATCACAACAAGAAAAATATGTAACAGAATTCTTACTATCATTAACAGGCACTCAAACCAAGCAAGCATATACACTGAATTTTGGTCTACAAATTGTAGTCGCCTTAGGGATGAAAGCCGGTCTATAAATGCCATAAATAATAATAAAAAAATATCACTGATCATATATTTAGATAACTCTATTCATCCTATTCCAGGTTTTCCAGGCCATGGCTAAGGGGCCTTTCACACAGCCATATAACCCAGAATATCAAGGTAGATAATCCACAATAATTGTTTTGAACTGGGTTATCTGAGTCCACATTGCCATATAACCCAGTTCAAAGCAGATAATCTTGACTCATCGCAGTCTGGTTTTAGGCCTTGTTACGGAACAGAGCCAGCTTTGGTTGCCTTGGTGGATGACCTCCACAGAGAGTTAGACAGAGGGAGTGTGTTCCTGTTGGTTCTCTTGGATCTCTCAGCGGCTTTCAATACCATTGACGATGGCATCCTTCTAGACCGGCTCTCTGGGATGGGCCTGATTTTTTTAAATCTTCAGAATCTGAAATGTAATTCCCACTCACTCAAAAGTAATAATCACTTCCCCTTTTTTTGCCTTTTTTTAGTTTGAGGGAGTTGCAGAGAGAGAAAAATACAAATACTTCCAAATGCATTAGAGGCATTTGGAAGCAAAAAGCAGTGATTTTTTTAAAATGAGAACTTGAGGTGTTAATGTCCCTTAGGGTTGGGGAGATGATGCACCTACACTTTTTACACAATTTATTTGCCCCTTATTTATAAGTACTTGGGTATTCTTCATTTCACTGACAACATTCAGTTTCTCTTAAAGAAAGATGTTTTATTCCTAAGCACAAATGAAACGTGCTCTGTGTTCTACTTTAGCCTGGAATATTTAGTGATGTTAACACTTACTGCTCTTAATGTCTTTTTAATTGTTTCAATCTGCTGAACTGCTAGTTTAATTTGATTATTGTCACCATTAGCCTCTCTGAAAACACTTCAGAACTGAAGCACTGTCACCAAAAAAGCACATCATTCCTGAATAGGATTAACTGACCAGAACAGCTTTGTTGGATGACAATATGATCTCAGCTGTCTATGTTTGTTCAACACTAGTATTTGGATTATGGTGGTCAAAGCCTTTGAATGTCGTGTTTTACCTGATATAAAACTGACTTGCCTCCAGTAAATTAGCTTGCTAATGTGTTTATTTATTCATTTATTGAATTTATATCACACATTTCTCCCTTGATGGGATTCTCATGTCCCATTCAATATACTCACAAAGACAGCACAGGAAGAAAAGGAAGATATATTTTTCCTGTCATTTTTATAGTAACCATGCTGTACTTTGCCTTAAGACGCAAGTAATGATGGGTAATACATTCTTCTTCATCATCATCATTATCATCATCACCATCATCATCATCTGTTTCTTCTCTAGAATGCAAGTCTAAACCAAGGCTCTTGACCTGCACAGACACTGTATTGCAATTTCACTGACAAATAAACATACTTACATGCCTAAAGTTTTCACACACTACCAAATCCATAGTTTACATCCCAAATCTCTAATACAATCATAGTTACTCAGACTTACAGGCCAGATTCATGGATTTACAGCAAGCTACAGAACCCACCATAAGAAGTAAATAAACAAATCAACAGACAAGATTTGTACCCAAGATAATCTATTGCAGAACAGACTGAACACAGGAAATTGCAGAATCGAACAAGAGTTAACTCAGACCACTAAGATGTAACATCCACAAACTACAATGAATTAGAACCTATTCAGGAGAATAACACTTCTTTCTTGAAGGCAGGTCTTTATTTGCCCATAGAAAATCTCTCAAATTGTTACTTATCTACGGAAGGACACACAATATGGGATGTCAACTCTGTCCACAAATCTATTTGGGAAATGTCATCACATAGCCCAGTCACATGACCTACAATATTTTGATATACCTTCACTTGTTCGAGTCTAATATGACATAAGCCATCCTTTCAGCAATGTCAGTCTCTGCTCTAGAGAAGAAATTGACACAAATCAGACATTAGGAATGGGAAGAAGCAAAAATCAGTTACAGAACACTTAAATCTTCTTTGACATTCCATTCTGGACATTTGAATAGCAATCTTTGAACAACAAAGTCAAGAATATATTGGTAAGAGAAACAGCAAAGATGAGATATACAATCCATAAACAGTAGATTGAACATAAACAATGATTTTCTGCCGTACTGCACATATTATAACACTAATTAACACCTTTTCCTTATGAGGGCTCTCTTGATCAGTTTATCACAATTCCTTTTTAGTTATCAGACAGCATCACACTACATTCCAATAACTCCCTCCACTAATCATATAGTTAGCAACTTAGTCTGACAATTACAGAACTAAAAACACTACCGTTCTGGTTTACAACTTCCAGAATCCCCCAACTAACATTGCTGCTATAGTGAAAACATCTAAGTATATTACTGTCAAGTTTTAACCTATATTAACCCTATGAATGAAAGACCACTAAATCAACCTATCATCAACAAAATCAGGACTGTGGTTTCTTTCAGTGCGTCTATATCCATATATTTAATGTGATCTTTCATTTTTCCTACTGACTTCTACTTAATATTATGGGGTTTTTTTTCTGGTGGGGTATTCTTCTCAGGATATGTCTAAAGTAAGTCTCAATTTAGTTTCTGGGAAAGTTCAAACTTGATTTGCTCTAAGAACCATTCATTCCTTGGGGGACATTGCAGACTATCCACAGAACTCTTTTTAGAACTACATTTCAAAAGGGTTGATCCTCTTCCTGTCAGCTCTTTTCACTGTCCAGCTTTCAGAACCATATATAGAAATGGGAACTATGGTGGCAAGAACAATCCTGACTTCAGCATTCAATTTTGACATTTCAGAGCCTTGTCTAGTACCTTCATAACTACTATGCTTCCCAATCCTAGTCTTCTGATTCTTGACTGCAGTCGCCATTCTAATTAATGACCAATATAAAAAATATAGAACTATTTCAATGTTGTTGTTTATAAATCATATATGGTCATTAAGGTATCATTTTAAATTGCTGATGTTCCTTCCTCCAAATTTCACACCTCCCTGATCTTGTTTTACCTATGATATGTTCAGCATACAAGTTTATCTGGTAGGGGATAAAATGCAGTCCTGCCTGACCCCTTTCGCTAATCAGAAACCATTCATCAGCCCCTGGTGGCACAATATGTTAAGCCCTTGTGTCAGCAGGACTGCTGACTGAGTGGTCAGCAGTTCGAATCTGAGGAGCGGGGTGAGCTCCCATCTGTCAGTTCCAGCTTCCCATGCAGGAACATGAAAGAAGCCTCCCATAGGATAGTAAAACATCCAGGTGTCCCCTGGGCAATTTCTTTGAAGACAGCCAATTCTCTCACACTAGAAGCGATTTGCAGTTTCTCAAGTTGCTCCTCACATAAGGAAAAAAATCTGTCAGCATTCTGTCCTAAAAATAGCCCCTTGTCCCAAAGTACACATTATGCATCCGAACAATAAAATGTTGCGGCATTTTACAATAGCAATCCCCTGTTTTTCATGGTCAATATAACGAAGGCTTTGCTGTAATCTGTAAAGCACAGGCTGATTTTTCTTTTATGATTCTTTGGTGTGCTTCATTATCCAATATATATTTGCACTATGATCCAAGTGTCTTTTCCTATCCTGAACGCAGCTTGGATATCTGACATTTCTTGCTCCATATATATTTAAAAACTATTTGTTGTAGATGCATCATTTTGCTTGAATGGGAAATTAATGCAATGATCTTGTGGTTACTGCAAACCCTGGTATCTCCCTTCTTGGGAATTCGAATGTGTATTGAGTTTTTCCAATCTTTGGGTCATTGTTTTGTTTTCCATATTTGCTGACAGATTTAAAGGTAACATAAAAATAGATTTGCACCATTAAATCTGATGGATTAGGAGCCAGGAGAACATTGTTAGAACTCTGTTGACTTAAGAAGTTCTATTGTTATGCCATCTTTTCCTGGTGATTTATTTCTCCCAAGTGTTCTGAGGTCAGCTTCCAGTTCATTTTCTAAAATGAGAGGTTCTTTATATGATTCTTCCCTGAAAAAATGTATCATCTGTTCATGTCTTTTATAAACTTTTTCACTGTATTGTTTCCATTGTTCTTCTATTTCTACATGGTACAGTGTTCTCTTGCTGGTTGTAGAGATTCCTAGTTCTGGTTTAAATTTCCCTATGGTTTCTCACATATTGTGTCTTCTGATCTTTACGTTTGTTGGTGTTGCCTTCTATTTCCTCTATATTAATTATTACATTAGTTCTCCTTCCTGTGCCCAAGTAATTGAACATTCATAAAGTGGACTCTATTTCTGTCTCTTTTTAGGTTTGCTTCTTGTCTATCCGTGACTGCCTGAAAAGTGACATTGGTCATGCATTGAAGATTCTTTCTTTTTTTTTTTTTTTTTTTGCTATAGACTACGTTTTTACATTCGTCCCTAACAATGTTTTTCTGGCTCCAAATTCATCAGATTTAATAGTGTAAATCTATTTTTATGTTATCTTTAAATTCTATCAGGGTATTGTTTGGGTTGTGTTTCAGCATGATGGTTTGTTTAGTGTTCTTCTTTAGCTTTATTCTAATTTTTGACATTGATAGTTCATGGTCGGTACCATAATCTGCTCCTGGTCTTGCTTAGTTTCTCTTCATTCATGCTTCTCACATTCCATGCTCCTACAAAATGTGTCATGCAAATTTTGATTTTTCTTTAACTTCTGAGCACATCATCAGATAAATTCCCTTCTGGCTTGAGTCCAGTTGTATCATGAGCAACAGTACTACTCGTACGTATTCTCTGCTGTTTCTCAACAGCTAATTGAGTGCCATCTACTCTGGGAGTTTCATTTTCTGGCACTATCTCTTGTTTCATTTTGGACTGCCCAGTCATAGGCTTTCTGTAGATACTAATTTGTAGGTACTAAGCACTTTAAGTCTGCCCACCTGCTCCTGATCATTGTTTTTTTCTGAAGTGTATCACCACATCTGAAATAAGCTATGATGTTCAAGTACATCTTGCTCCAGTGGGTAAAAATGAACTGAACAGGAGCAGGGAGAGCCATTCCCTTCGAATGAACACAGCACTTGATGCCCATGAGCACTTGCCAAAACCTTGTTTTAGCTCTAGAAGGTTCCACATCCAATTATGCACAAATTGTATATGGTCAAAAAGACCATGAAGAACCAGTGTTTCCTCTTTCTTTCAAGCTGAGAAATAAAAGTGAAGAGTACCCTACTTGATTTGCATCACAAAAGGACTGCAATGAGGGTACAGGTTTGTAGAAAAACAAAGATAAAATGATCATTTAGTGCTAATTTGGTAGAGTAAAGCATGCCAATTAAACACAAATTGTCTGTTATATTTCAAAAGTGAAATTTCTTAGCATGCTCATTAAAGGTTAAGAATAGTTTTACTTATTAAACACCCTAGGCACCAGCCACAGACAACACAGAAGGTGATGGTACTAATGGCATTCTTCCCAAGACCAATATAATTTTAAGGTGAAACTTTTTAACACCAGGTTGCTAATTGTGCAGCTCTGCACACACCAGACTGCATCTTCCAGCAGGCCCGACCAGCACAACTAGTCTTGAAGAATGATGGGAGCTGCAGTTCAATAACATCTAGAGGGCCACACAGTTTTCATACATATTTTTAAGTTATTGATGTGTGTCTTCAAGTTGTTTCCCACTTACTACATGTAGCAATCTTGATAGCATGGGAGTATCTGCACAGATACTCAGTAAACACACATTCTCTTCTTTCCACGTGTTCTAAGCCTTCTAAACACAACTGACATGAGCCTGTTGAAAAATTCCATTGGCAACCTTCCACTGCCAAGTCTGGTGTAGTGGTTTGATTGTTCATCTAGTGGCAAGAACTATTGGAGTAGCATCCCAACTCTTCCAGATACTGGAAATTAACTTCTGCTTCCCTTTTGCCGAACAGGCTGCTCATCGGCTAACCTTTCATAAAGAGTGAAAGGGGGAGCCAGTCTGGTGTAGTGGTTTGATTGTTCATCTAGAACTCTGGGAGACTATAGAGTTTGAATCCCTGCTCTGCTATGGAAACTGACTGGGTGACCTTGGGAATTCACACTCTCTCAGCCTCAAAGGAAGGCAAAACCCTTCTGAAGAAATGTTACCAAGGAACCCCTTGATAAAGATTTTCCATGCCTGAGGGTCACAGTAGGTTAGATATGACTTGAAGCCACACAAGTTATACAGTATCAGGAAGCAAAATAAACAGATTGTTTTTGACACATATTTACCCAAACACTGCCTTTATTTCAACCTCTACATCTTCTGACGAGACATAACAGGTAAAAAGCAACAAAACAAAACAGTATCATCTCCTTACCTCTTCATCAACATAATCATCTATTCTTTTCTGGCATTCAAGCCATGCTTCAGCAACTTGCCCCATCGCCTGTTCCAACTGATGATACTGTTCAGACAAGGTTATACACGTATCTCCACTACAGGAACAGCGTTATTCTAAGCCTAAAATTAAGATAGCAATAGATATATAGTCTTAAGTGAAACACATTAAAATATGTAGTATTTGCTAGCACTGTAAAGCATCCAAGATGCCTAGCAGTGCCAGGAAGTTACCAAGAAATAAGTAAAAAATCCTGGTACATTGCCCCATTCTTATTAGAAGAAAATCTAGACAATTTTGACGCTGTTTTTCTATGGAAAAAAATTCAAACATATTAGTCTATTTGCTTGGAGAATTGTACTGCAATCAGTCACGTTAGATATCAATACTGAATAATGAAAAAACAATATAAATCCTTGTAAGCATATGTTAAATAATTCTAATGAGAAACACATCTGAAGTGCAAAAAAATCATCCCCCCTCCCCCCATATATATATATATATATATATATATATATATATACACACACACACACACACACACACACACATACACACACACACACACATATATATATATAATGTGTGTGTGTGTGTGTGTGTGTGTGTGTGTTTTCATATATATATGACTACTAGAAAAACTGCAAGTGGCTGAATGGAAACTTTGTCAAAAACAAATACTGCTAAACCTGGAAAAGCAGAATACATTTTTAAAAGCATCTCCATCAACCCATAATTCTTGGTTGATAGCTCAATTACTAGAAAGATTGTTGAATTTCAGGACGCACAGCATTAAAATAAGATGAAATATCTTTTTTATCCTCATGCCACAAATAGCAAGAGTATCACTTGGTGTGTTTAGAGCATATTGAATATTAGACCTTAGTTCAAATAATGAAAAATAGAGTAACAACCATGGCCAAAATATATCCATAATGATCCAACTTTTACACTATGCAAGCATTTCTAGAAAGGTTCCCCAGGGACTATGTAATCTGAACAAGCTAATGGACATGTTATATAAGACAGCCACTGTAACCTGGCTCACAGCCACAAAGGCACATTAGAATGACTTCTAAATAGGAAGCATTTAAGCTTTTCTTTTAGGAATATAAAGTTCCCTGAATAAGATTAGACCAAAGAATGGAATTAATAATCATAGCACTGCAGACACAAAGAATAATCATTTGCTGAATATTGTATATGTTAGAAGAAAATTAGCATCTGTGACACGTACTCTCTGTCTTGGGGGGGGGGGATGACCTATAAGAATAATGCTGGGAAATATAAACTATTCACCACAGCTTTTATCTGTCCTGTTTCTATCATCATTACATTCACTCACAACTATCATGTTCTTCCCACCTGCCTTAAAGTAGTTGCTAAAAATCAATTGTTTTAAAATGTTTTAATTTAAATTGAATTTTAAAAATTTAAATAAATTTTACCCTAACACAGAGTTACACACTAAAGTTACCAGAATTCATTCTTTTCAAAGTGCATCTGTACAATAAACATAAAAATGCTTCTCCTGGCTTAAATACACATGCATTTAAACTATTATAAACATTTGACTTGTTTCACTTTTTTATTGTTTAGATTTTATTTTTATTGCTTTACATTTTAAATTACCATATATATTCATGTATAACTTGACCTCATGTATATGTTGAAGGCAGATTTGGGGGCCAAATTCAAGATTTTGATATGACCTATGGATAAGCTGAAGGTCACTCTGCAGAGAGGTGAACACACCTCAGGGCCACTTGTCCCTGGCCGTAACCACCATTTCCCCACCCAAGCACTCAAAAAGTGGTGCCATGATGGAAAGTGTAGAAAGGGTTGGTGCTTCTTTTGGGTTCTCCTGGGACTAATTTCTTGCCTTTCATCATTATACTTAGAGAGGACTGGTTTCCTATTTTTATTAGAGTAAAGGTACAGTGCTCATACTGACCTTTTTTTTTTTTTTTTTTTGCTAATTAAAATGTCTAGACTTATTCATGAAAATACGGTACTTTAAACTAGGGCTTATTAAACTTTTACCACTTCTAACTTCTTTCCTCCCCAATCTTTTTTACATAACCCCAGACATATAGATGAATAAAATAGCTTTTAAAACCAAATATTTACTGATAATAAACCAGCATTTGGAAGGCTTGCTAATCAGGCAGATTTTCTTTTATGTGGAGTACAGCTAAAGCATTTCCTGCAGAGTCCTCTATAAACACTATATATGTGCTAAAAGATTTATGTAAATTGATAACATTCAGAATCCTTTTACTATTGCTAAGTTTTTGTGACCCCAACATTGAGCTAAGGGGACTCCCTTTGGGAGTCTGTGGGTCAGTGCTTTAAGCTACTTAGATTGATTTTGCTTCCAATCTTCCCTAAGTGCCCATGATATTGGGGAGGATATACACATTTAAATTAATTACCCTATTTCTTTAATTCTTAGAAGCAGTTTTTCCGCATATAAACATCTCTAAAAATGGGGTACATCATAGAATTAAGGGATATATCTATATCCTTTGTTCTATTGATGGTAAATTAGCATGTGTCTTACGATTAATGACGTCTTAGAATCAAAGAAATTGAGTAATAAAAATAAATAAATATACAAGTAATATGACAGAGTCCTCAAGAAGATGAAGGTTGCCATCCCTAACGAGACAACAAACCCTAAATTACAATATTCTGTCCGCTGACAATTTTTTTCTATTATTAGGTCAAGGGAAGCTACAGTTACAGCAAAGCCACTCTACTAATGCTTTCTTGGCCTAAAGCTTAAGCGAACATGTCAACTCAAGATCTATTGAATCAATTGTTGGCTGTAACAAATCCTTTAACTTCCATTGATTAAATGGGACTACTGTAGTTTGGAACTAGCCATTGGTTTTGGGCATTATCTGCTTCCAAAAGTTTACATTCACATTTCAAAAACTGCTGATTTGGCCACACCACCTGAAGAAGATAAACTCAATTACTTGTGCAGAGGTTGAAACAGCAACTATACATTTTGCAGCTTTGATACATGACTATCTTACAGTCATATCCAGTAAAGAGGCACAAGAAAATATACTTGCCTCAGAGAAAGCTAACTAAAAGAAGGCAAGGATCAGGATGCACAGTGTGCAAAATTTGGCAGACAGCATGCTTCTCCAAAGACTCATAAGTATTTCTGTCTTAACAGCAATCAAGGTACTTTTCTATAAACAGAACTTCTCTATACACATTATTCTCACAATTAGCAATTCCAAAAACACTTTCCAGCTAAGAATAAGCATGTTTATTTTGTTGGTAGTGTATCATTCAACTGCTTATGCCCAATATCTGTAGGATACAAACTACAGATCAAGTATCCATTATTCGTAATTCCAAAATACTCCAAAATCTGATATTGGCCACATAAGTAGCTGAGCCTAAGATAGCGACACCTTTGCTTCCTGATAGTTCAAGGTGCAGAAGCATTGTTTAATGCACAAAATTATTAAAAACATTGTGACTAAAACTGTCTGTAGGTCAGACATGGGTAAACCCAGGGTCAGACACAGACTTTTGGCTTCTTCCCTCAGGCCTCTCTGCCTCGGCCCTCCTCTCAGCATGCGGACATGGCAGCCTGCCATGTCCCCAGCTTGAGATGAAGGCCGAGACATGCCACTGCAGAGCACTCTCTAGAGAGCACTCGCCAGCAGCATGTGTCTCCTTCTCCTGCCTTCCCCAGTTTTAGAGGAGAACCAGGGGGAGAAACACGACGCTGACAAGAGCTCCCTTGCCAGCACTGTGTTTCTCCTTCTCCTCTAACCCTCGGGAAGGCAGACTACCTTCCCAGGCTAATAGGAGAACTGGGCCGGGGGGGGGGGGGGGGACGGGACTGGGAGCTGGCAAAAATGCTCTCTCCAGCGCTGTATATTCTCCTCTCCTCCTCCCACTCCACCCTGCTCCTTCTGGGCCCCAGGCCAACTCCTTCCGGGCCCACCTGCACTTCCTCCCAGCCCAGTCCTTGCGGCCAGGCCCACAAGACAACCACAGGACAAAAAAATCTGTCCATGCCTGCTCTAGGCTATATCTCATATCCAAATTCAGGTGTTCTAAAATCCAAAATGCTTCTGGTCACAAGCATTTCAGGTCAGGAGGACTCAACCTGTACAGTCACAATGCAATTCCTCACATCTCTAGGGGTACATCTACACTGTAGAATTGATGCAATTTGACACTGATTTAACTGCCATGGCTCAAGACTATGAAATCACAGAAACTATAGTTTTATAAAGCATTTAACCATCTGTATTTAAAGTGCTAATGTCTCATCAAACTACAAATCACAGGATTCCATAGCCTAGAGCCATGGCAGTTCAAGGGCTGTTGAACTGCATTAATTCCACAGTGCAGATGCACCATAAGAGCGATGCACCAGTTATTTGAAGGACTGTCCCTCTCTCTGCAAACCTGTCACATACCTACAAACCTCTGGAGAGGGCTGTTTTCTCTCTGTCCCACTGTCCACTCAAGCACATTTAGTAGAAACAAAGAAGAGGCCTTTTTCAGTGGCTTCTCCCAGACTTTGGAGCTCCCTCCCAAGATAGACCAAAAGGGCCCCATCCTTGCTGGCCTTCTGCAAGGCCATCCTTGTTGGCCTTCTGTGCCAACAGGCCTTTGGGGAAAAATAAGGGGCACGCTGCTGGGGAGGTTTGTTTGAGGGATGTTATTATTATTATTATTATTATTATTATTATTATTAACTTTATTTGTACCCCGCTAGCATCTCCCGAAGGACTCGATGCGGCTTACACAGGCCGAAGCCACAAAACACAATATAATAGAAACAGACATCACAAAAGCAAAACAAATCAAACAATAGCAAAATAACAACAATAGCAGTACATCAAGACATTATTAAAACTGGTTCGGCCGGCGCACTGGGTACAAGGGATTAAAAGTGCTGAAATGGCAGGAGGCACGAAGGATTTCAAGTGCGGTGTGCAGTAGCGATTTGTTATGCTAAGGTGCTATTTGGACTTGGGGTGGGGATTCCTAATCTGAGAAAGCACAACGGAACAGCCAAGTTTTTAAATTCCTTCTGAAAACGGATGTTGGGTTGGATGTATATTTCTGAAAGGAAATTTTAATTGTATTTCTCGTAACTTTATATCCAAACACTAGTATTTGTTTGTTGTTTTAGTTGTTGCATTTGTTTTGCTTTAAAATATCATTAGATTGTGTAGTTGTGTTCTGCTTTGAGTCCTTACAGGAGAAAGGCGGGATAGAAATAAAGATCAAAATAATCGTTATATCAGTAGAGAATTGTGGTTGTGAGCCACCTTGAGTCCTTACAAGGAGAAAGGTAGAATAGAGATAAAGTTAATAATAGTAATATCAATAGAAAACTGTAGTTATGTGATTGTGAGCTACCTTGAGTCCTTACGGGAAGAAAGGCAGGACAGAGATAAAATTAAGAATAAAAATAAAAATAATAATATCAATAGAGAATTGCAGTTGTGTGACTGTGATCTGCCTTTCATCCGTTTGGGGAGAAAGGCGCGATAAAAATAAAGTTAATAATAATAGAGAATTATGGTTGTGAGCCACCCTGAGTCCTAATGGGGAGAAAGGCAGGATAGAAATAAAGTTAATAATAATATTAATAGAGAACTCTGGTTGTGAACTGCCTTGCAGGGAGGAAGGAGGAATAGAAATAAAGTTAATAATAATAATAATAATAATAATAATAATATCAATAGAGAACTCTGGTTGTATGGTTGTGAGCCACCTTGAGTCCTTATGGGGAGAAAGGCGGGATAGAAATAAAGATAATAATAATATAAATAGAGAATTGTGGTTGTGTGGTTGTGAGTCACCATGAGTCCTTTTGGGGAGAAAGCCGTGATGGAAATAAAGTTAATAATAATGATTATTATTATATCAATAGTGAATTGTGTTTGTTTGATTGTGAGCGACCTTAATTCTTTGCGGGGGAAAAGGTGCGATAGAAATAAAATTAATAACAATAGAGCATTGTGGTTGAGAGCCAACCTGAGTACTTATAAGGAGAAAGGTGAGATAGAAATAAAGTTGTTAATAATTGTAATAATAAAAATAAAAATATCAACAGAGAATTGTGGTTGTGTGGTTGTACGCTGTCTTCAGTTCTTTTGGGGAGAAAGGCAGTATATATATAAGATAATAATAATAATAATAATAATAATAATAATAATATCAATAGAGAATTGTGGCTGTGTGCAGTCTTGAGTCCTTGCGGGGGGGGGGGGAGGCAGGATAGAAATAAAATTAATAATAATAATAATAATAATAATAATATCCATAGAGAACTCTAGTTGTGTAGTTGTGAGCCATCTTGAGTCCTTATGGGGAGAAAGGTAGGATAGAAATAAAGTTAATAATAATAATAATATCAATAGATAATTGTGGCTGTGTGGTTGTGAGATAATTTGAATCCTTACAGAGAGAAAGGCACGATAGCAATAAAATTAATGATAATAGAGAATTGTGGTTGTGTGCTGCCTTGAGTCCTTACTCAGAGAAAGGCGGGATAGAAATTAAATTAACAATGGAGAATTGTGGCTGTGTGGTTGTGAAATGCCTTGGATCCTTTCAGGGAGAAAGGCAAGATAGAAATAAAGTTAACAATAATCATAATATCAATAGAGAATTGTGGCTGTGTGGTTGTGAAATGCCTTGAATCCCTTCGGGGAGAAAGGCAGGATAGAAATAAAGTTACTACTACTACTAATAATAATAATAACATCAATAGAGAATTGTGGCTGTATGTTTGTGAGATGCCTTGAATCCTTTCGGGAAGAAAGGCGAGAAAGAAATAAAGTTAATAATAATAATAATAATGTCAATAGAGAATAGTGACTGTGTGGTTGTGAGATGCCTTGAATCCTTTTGGGGAGAAAGGCGAGATAGAAATAAAGTTAATAATAATAATAATAATAATAATAATAATACCAATAGAGAATTGTGGTTGTGAGGATAGAAATAAAGTTAATAATAACAATAATAATAATAATATCAATAGAGAATTGCGGCTGTATGGTTGTGAGATGCCTTGAATCCTTTCGGGGAGAAAGGAGGGATAGAAATTAAATTAACAATAATAATATCAATAGAGAATTGTGGTTGTGTGGTTGTGAGATGCCTTGAATCCTTTCGGGGAGAAAGGTGAGAAAGAAATAAAGTTAATAATAATAATAATAATAATAATAATAATAATATCAATAGAGAATTGTGGCTGTATGGCTGTGAGATGCCTTGAATCCTTTTGGGGAGAAAGACGAGATAGAAATAAAGTTAATAATAATAATAATAATAATAATATCAATAGAGAATTGTGGTTGTAAGGATAGAAATAAAGTTAATAATAATAGTAATAATAATAATATCAATAGAGAATTGCAGCTGTATGGTTATGAGATGCCTTGAATCCTTTCGGGGAGAAAGTCGGGATAGAAATTAAGTTAACAATAATAATATCAATAGAGAATTGTGGCTGTGTGGTTGTGAGATGCCTTGAATCCTTTCAAGGAGAAAGGCGAGATAGAAATAAAGTTAATAATAATAATAATAATAATATCAATAGAGAATTGTGGTTGTGTGGTTGTGAGGATAGAAATAAAGTTCTTAACAACAATCTCAATAGAGAACCACATTCCCTATTTGACTTGAGCAGTAGGAGCCTCTCCCTACGAACCTGTCAGACTCAGCCCTGTTTAAGGCAGAAATGCACCTCTCCCGCAATTGAAATTAGACGTTATAATTGCCTTTTGAGGAATAGTTTCCTAACGGGAAGCTCGGGCTGGGCGGAGGGGCCTCCTGGTGACCCCGCAAGGCCTCCAAGGAGGGCCCCGACCCCGCGACGAAGCCGGGAAAGCCACCAACTCACCACCAGGTTAAAATGGGCCTGCCTTCTCGGAAGCCTCCAGGAAAGACGTTGCCGAAAACGCCCCTGAGAGGAAGCACACAAAGGACTCCGGCCCTGAGGAGAGGAAAGGCCCGGCCGCACCCCACTTTCTTGAGGGAAACCCCGAGGGGAAGGGATGGGGGGAGGGAGGGAGGTAGGGAGGGAGGGCAGGCGCTGCGGGAAGGAGGCCCTCCTCGCCGTGAAGGAGAGCGCGCGACCCCCAGGGAAAGAGGGCGCGAGGGGAGGGAGAAGGCCGCAAAGCTCGCTCACCTCAGGGATCGTCCTCGGCGGCCGCTGGCGAGTAGGCCAGGGAGCCAGGCTGCGGAGGAAGGCCGAGAGGAGGAGGAGGAGGAGGAGGAGGAGGAGGAGCGAGCCCTCTTGCGACAGGGAGCCCCTCCTCTCCCCTCCGACGTTAGGAGGCGGCGCCCGGCCCCCTCCGCGCGCGCCGCCATGCCGCCGCCTCCTCCTCCTCCATTAAAGGGAAAGGACAGGCTCGCGCGAAGCCCGCTCGCGCTGCCGGCCTTGGCCGCCTCGGGGGCTTCTCCTTGGTGACGTCACGCGCCTCTTTGGAAGCCCAGCCTCACGCAAGGGGAGGGTTGGGGTGCATCTCCTGCTGCAGAATGAATGCGGGGTTTGGTGCCAGTTTGCACCGCCACTGGCCAATGCTGTGCAATCCAGAGAGCTCTTAGGTGAGGCACTTACCACAGCTCTCTGGCAGAGAAGGCTAAACTACTAATCCCTGGAGTCCATAGCCATAGCAGTTAAAGCGCTGCCTACTGGCAGCGCTTTAACTGCTATGGCTATGGACTCCAGGGATTAACTGCATTTCATCTATGCTGATGATTAACTGCATTTCATCTATGCTGATGATTGTGTCATCACCACTCAAGCAGGGCGCTTTTGAGATGGTTGAACAGAAGCTCTGGGTCAGTGGTTCTCAACCTCCCTAATGCCATGACCCAGGCATGTAGCCGGGGGGGGGGGGGCTTGAGGGGCTTCAGCCCCCCCCCCGAAATTCTCATGGTGGTTCGCGAAAAGGCCTTACTGGTGCATTATTTAAACTGTTATGTTTATTCATATCATGATCTGATCACCATACTCAATATATCTCATATGCATGGGGGTATTGGGGTAATGATACAAAAGGTTTGCTAGGGTAGACCCTCTTTCACTCAGACTCAGCCCCCCCCCCCGAAACTCAGCCCCCCCGAAACCCCCTGCAAAAAACTTAGCCCCCCCCCCCACCCGAATCGAAATCCTGGCTACGGGCCTGACCCCTTAATACAGTTCTTATGTTGTGGTGACGTCACGCGCCTCCAACCATAACATTTTTGTTGCTACTTCACAACTGTAATTTTGCTGCTGTTATGAATCGTCACGTAAGTATCTGATACACAGGATGTATTTTCATTCACTGGACCAAATTAGGCACAAATGCCTGATATGCCCAAATTTGAGTTCTAGTGGGATTGAAGGGGAGATTGATGCTGTCATTTGGGAGTTGTAGTTGCTGAGATTTATAGTTCACATAAAGGAGCCCCAGTGGCGAAGTGGGTTAAACCCCTGTGCTGGCAGGACTGAAGACCGACAGGTCACAGGTTCGAATCTGAGGAGAGTGCGGATGAGCTCCCTCTATCAGCTCCAGCTCCTCATGCGGGGACATGAGAGAAGCCTCCCACAAGGATGATAAAACATCAAAATCATCCGGGCGTCCCCTGGGTAACGTCCTTGCAGACAGCCAATTCTCTCACACCAGAAGCGACTTGCAGTTTCTCAAGCGGCTTCTGACACGACAAAAAAAAAATCACATACAGTCAAAGAGCATTCTGAGCTCCGCCAATGACTGAATTGAACCAGTCTTGGCACACAGAACTCCTATGACCAACAGTAAATACTGGAAGGGTTTGATAGGCATTGACCTTGAGTTTTGGAGTTGTAGTTCACCTTTATCCAGAGAGCACTGTGGACTCAAACAATGATGGATCTGGACCAAACTTGGCATGAATACTCAACATGCTCAAATGTGAATACTGGAGGAGGTTAGAGAAAATAGACCTTGACATTTGGGAGTTGTAGTTGCTGGGATTTATAGTTCACCTACAGTCAAAGAGCATTCTGAACTCCAACAATGAGATAATTGGGCTAAACTTCCTACACAGAACCCCCATGACCAATAGAAAATACTGCGTTTTCTGATGGTCTTTGGCGACCCCTCTGATACCCCCTCGCACCCCACCCCAGGGGTCCCGACCCCGTAGTTTGGGGACCCCTGCTCTAGGTGCTCTTACTGCCTATTACAGGGGAAACCAACTGATCCCTAATCCATCTAAAACACAGACATGTGCTTTTCACCTTAAGAACAGACAAGCATCCCGAGCTCTGAGGATTACCTGGGAAGGAATCCCACTGGAGCATTGCAGCGCACCCAAATACCTGGGAGTTACCCTGGACTGTGCTCTGTCCTACAAGAAGCACTGAATATCAAGCAAAAAGTGGCACTAGAAACAATATCATACGAAAGCTGACTGGCACAACCTGGGGATCACAACCAGATACAGTTAAGACATCTGCCCTTGCATGTTGCTACTCTGCTGCTGAGTACACATGCCCAGTGTAGAACACATCTCACCACGCTAAAACAGTGAATGTGACTCTTAATGAGACATGCCGCATTATCATGGGGTGTCTGCGCCCTACACCTTTGGAGAAATTATACTGTCTAGCCGGTATTGCACCACCTGACATCCGCCGGGGAGTAGCAATCAATAGTGAAAGGACCAAGGCAGTGACATCTCCAGCCCATCCTCTGTTTGGGTCTCAGCCAGCACGTCAACGACTTAAATCAATAAATAGTTTTCTAAGATCTACAGAGACACTCGCTGGAACACCTCAGCAAGCGAGAGTCCAAAAGTGACAGGCTCAGACCCAGAACCTCAATCAGTGGCTGATACCAAATGAGAGACTCTCTCCTGGGCACACAGAAAACTGGGCAACTTGGAAGGCGCTGAAGAGACTGTGCTCTGGCACCACGAGATGCAGAGCCAACCTTAAGAAATGGGGCCACAAAGTGGAATCCACGACATGCGAGTGTGGAGAAGAGCAAACCACTGACCACCTGCTGCAATGCAACCTGAGCCCTGCCACATGCACAATGGAGGACCTCCTTGCAGCAACACCAGAGGCATTCCAAGTGGCCAGCTACTGGTCAAAGGACATTTAATCAACTACCAAGCTTGCAAACTTTGTGTTTTGTTTGTTTGTTTTTAATGCAATATAACTGTTTTGGTTCGCTCCTGACACAATAAATAGTACTACATTCCTTCTACAGCAGGCCTCCTCACACTACTGCCCTCTATCTGTTTGGGTCTCCAACTCCCAGAAGACCCAGTTAGCTTGTTCAATGATCAGGAATTCAGAGAGTTATTTATTTATTTGCTGTATTTGTATACTGCCTTTCTCAGCCCACAGGTGACTCAAGGCAGTTTACAGGGCAAAATTCAATGCCTGCAATACCATAACTACAATTAAAACATAACAGATAATAAAAACTATAACAAAATCAATAAAACATAAATCCATAGTGTCTCCTTGTTAAAAACGTCCGGTCCCAGTGTCTACTTGTTCCATTTTTGTATGTCAGTTACTCTGCATTTGCAAGCGCTTGCTCAAAAAGCCACATCTCGACTTTTTTCAGGAATGTTAAAAGGGAGGGAGCCGATCTGATATCCCTAGGGAAGGCGTTCTACAGCCGAGGGGCCAATACCGATAAGGCCCTGTCTCTCATCTCCAGTAAACTGTCCTGAATTGCCTTTCAAAAACAGCATTTAGACGATGTTGAAAGTAAAAGAAAAAGCTTTACTTCAGCAAATGCAAAGCATAAGCAAATGCAATTGAAAAGTGCAAAAGAAAGCAAGGAAGTCTTAATCCAGACAAATTCAAGTCTCTTACAAGGTCCTCAAAAGAAACACCAGTCTTCCATCAGACAACAGACGATGAATTAAGTTCTTAGCAGCAGACACAAAGCAGAATGAAAACAGCAATATCAGGATCATTGTTACCAGTGAAAGCTGACTACTCTTTCCTCTGATTTATAGTCCTTTATTCCCCACGCAGGAGGTGATAGGGCGTCTCCCAATTAGCTCAGCGTTTTTAGCAGCTATTCGGGCTGATTGGTGTCTGCTCTGTCTTTTTTCGTCTTTAGAAATGTGGGCACTTTCAAACCCTCATAGTCTGATACTTCTTCTCCCTCCAAATCCTGAGCACTTCCCTGCACCCCTTTCTCTTCCAAAGATGACGAATCCCCAACACAAACGTACTTGTGACAAAGGCGGTAATGAGAGCAGGGCCTCCCCAGACTATCTTAAGGTCCTTGATAAGGGGAGATGCAATCAGACAGGTAAGTTGGGCCAGAACCATTCTAGGCCAAGGAGGCCTGCTGTAGCTGCACTTCCTTATATATAGACCACCCAACCTATTCAACTATTCAAGTATAGGTCACCCAACCTATTCAACTTGTATGCAGAACAGATCATGCGATGTGTGGGGCTTGACGAATGCAAGGCTGGGGTTAAAATTACTGGAAGAAACATTAACAACCTTATGATGGCTGAAAGCGAGGAGGAGCGGAGGAGCCTTCTAATCATGGTGAAAGAAGAAAGTGCAAAAGCTGGGTTGCAGTTAAACATTAAAAAACCCAAGATTTTGGCAATCGCACTGATTGAGAACTGGGAAATAGAGAGAGAAAACATGGAGGCAGTGACAGACTTTGTATTTCTAGGTGCAAAGATTACTGCAGACTACAGCCAGGAAATCAGAAGACACTTACTTCTTGGGAGGAGAGCAATTACCAATTTTGATAAGATAGTGAAGAGTAGAGACATCACACTAGCAACGAAGATCCGCATAGTAAAACAATGGTATTCCCTGTAGTAACCTATGGATGCGAGAGCTGGACTATAAAGAAGGCTGAGCGAAGGAAGATAAATGCTTTTGAACTGTGGTGTTGGAGGACAATTCTGAGAGTGCCTTGGACTGCGAGAAGATCCAACTAGTCCATACTTCAGGAAATAAAGCCCGACAGCTCATTGGAGGGAAGGATATTAGAGGCAAAGATGAAGTACTTTGACCACATCACGAGAAGACAGGAAACCTTAGAGAAGAAAATGATGCTGGGAAAATGGAAGGAAAAAGGAAGAGGAGCCAACCAAGGGCAAGATGGATGGATGGTATTCTTGAAGTGACTCGCTTGACTCTGAAGGAGCTGGAAGTGGTGACAGCTGACAGGGAGCACTGGTGTGGGCTGGTCCATGAGGTCACAAAGAGTTGGAAGTGACTAAATTAATAAACAGCAATAGACTAGGCATGAGCAAACTTTGGTCCTCCCAGTGTTTTAGACTTCAACTCCCACAATTCCTAACAGCCAGAGTTTAAGTCATGGGAGCTGAAGTCCAAAATACTTGGAGGACTGTTTACCCATGCCTGGTGCAGACATATAATGCAGTTAAATTAACTCTTAATC